CAGTGAGAGTGAGAGAGAATGAAGGTGAGAACACACGCCACCAGGTCGTGATTCAAACTGCGGTCAGCCATGTGGGAGTCTTGTGCCCTTAACCACCATGCCACCTGCCAGCCTCAATGCCTGGCAGTTTTATAAGCCATCAAATCTGGGGCTCGAACTACACAGTTGGCCATGTGGAACCCAGCCATCTTAACCACGATGCCACCTGACTAACCCAAAATTATAGGATTTTTTTTTTCCCCCATAGGGTACGTGCACTCACAGGAGAGAGACAGAAAGTGAGAAATCACCCCTTGCCGGGGAGGGCCACCCTGCAGCCCCTCCTCTTCCATTCTTCTCCTGGTATTTGGGTATGCACACGCACGTGTCCAGTGTGATTTTCAAGCTGCCAGTTCCGGGACTCAAAATGCAGGCAGCCATATGGGAGTCCAGAGCCTTAACCAACCATACCACCTGCTGGCCCCAATAACAGGATCTTCTACACTCTTTATTTTTTTTAAGAATTATTTTATTGGGACCGGCAGGTGGCATGGCGCTTGGGGATGCTGGACTCCCACATGGCCAACCCTGGTTCGAGGACCAGACCTGGCAGCTTGCTTTCTCACTTTCTCTCTGTCTCTCTCTCTCTCTCTGTCCCTTTCTGGTCAAATTTAAATAAATAAGTAAATAAAGTTAAATAAGATAATTCTTTTTTAAAAAAAAAGATTTTATTTATTTTTTTTTGGAGAGATTTTTGCTACAGGGCATGTGCACTTGCCAGAAAGAGACAGACAGAAAGCGAGAAATCACCCCCCCAAGGGGAATGACCACACCGCAATCCCTTCTCCTCCATTGGGCCCGCACACACATATGCCTGGCGTGATTTTGAAGCCACCAGCTCCAACACTCGAACCACAGTCGACCATGTGGGAGTCCAGCAACATAACCGCTACGCCATCTGCCGGTTCTTCTCTCGAGCCCTCTCCCCCGTCCCTTCTCCTCTCCCTCTTTCTCTTCCTCTGGTGATAAAAAGAACGAGAGGGACCTGTGGGTGGCATGGAGGTTGGGGCTCTGAACTCTCACACAGCTGACCACAGTTCAAGTCCTGGGCCTGGCAGCTTGCTTTCTCACTTTCCCTCTCTCTCTCTGTCTCTTCTGGTGAGCCTATATGCCCTGTAGCAAATGGAAAATAATAATAATAGGGACCAGCAGATGGGGTAATGGTTACATTGCTGGACTCTCACATAGTCAAGTACAGTTGGAGTCCCAGACCCAGAAGATTAAAACTCGTGCCGGGCGTGTGTGCGTGCGTGCCCAAGAGCCAGAGAGGAGAATGGAGGAAAAAAAAAAAAAAAAAAAAGAGACAAAAATACTGCAGAGGGTAGTCCAGACAGTAGCACGGGCCGCTCTGCCACTTGGCCCACACAAGGTGGCATGGGTCCCCGGTGTACGCGAACGAGCTTGGGAAGTTTTACTTTCCAGAATGTACTTTCAGGTCCCAACGCATAACTCTTCCATTCCAGTACCTTCCTGGTGAGAACAGCAGTGGGTGTTTGATCGTCCTCAGGGTCAAAGGCTAGGAGAAGCCGCAGCTCGGGTTCCTAGGGTGGCAGAGTGGCCGCGTCTGCCCCGTTGGCCTGGAGCACTGTCAACTGCCACCTCTTTCACTGCTAGCTATTCCCTTGTGGGTAACAAGTCAACGAGCCTCACGGTCACTGTCCTAGATTCTCCGAAGACTCATTCAGTCAGAGCCACCATCGGGGCCAGCAGGTCGAAGGCGGTTAAAGTGCCGGACTCCTACGTGGCTGACCCCGGTTCAAGTCCTAGACCTGGCGGTTTGCTCTCTCACGTTCCCTCCCTCTGGCTCTGTCCTGATCAAATGAACATAAATAAAGTTAAATATAATCATTCTTTTTATTATTATAGTCTTAGAAATAAAGAATGATCTTTCTTTTAGGTAACTTTTTAAACTTTATTTACTTATTTATTTTAATTTGACCAGAGAGAGACAGAGCAAGAGGGAGAGAGAGAAAGTGAGAAAAGCAAGCCACCAGGTCCGGGACTCGAACTGCTGTCAGCCATGTGGGAGTCTGGTGCCCTGAACCACCGTGCCACCTGCTGGCCCCTAAAAATAATAATCCTTAAAAAGGGACCAGTAGGTGGCGTGGTGGTTAAGACACTGGACGCTCCCACATGGCTGACCACAGTCCAAGTGCAAAAACTGGTGACTTGCTTTCTCACTTTCTCGGTCTCTTTCTCTCTCTCTCTCTCTTTCTCTCTCTCTCTCTGTATCTTTTTTTTTTCTTTTTTTGAGAGGTTTTTGCTATAGGGCGCATGTACTCGCCAGAAAGACAGAGACAGAGAGACAGAAAGCAAGAAATCACCCTCCCAGGGGGGATGGCCACGCCACAATCCCTTCTCCTCCGTTCTCCTCTCGGGATCTTGGGCACGCACGCACACGCACCCGGTGTGAATTTAAGCCACCAGGTCCGGGACGCAAACCGCGGTCGACTACGTGGAGTCCAGCAACACAGCCATTACGCTAACTGCTGGTCCCCCTGTGTATCTTTCTCTGGTCAAATTAAAATATAAATGAATGAATAAATTAAATGGAATAATTCTTAAATATAATCCTTAAAAAAAAAAAAAGAGCCATCATAATTTTTTTAAGAGAGTTTTGCTATAGGGTGCATGTACTCGCCAGGGAGACACAGAGACAGACAGAAAAATCAGTCCTCGGGGAGATATTCATACCTTAATCTCGGGATCTTCAACACATGCCTGGTGTGAGTTTTAAGCAACAGTCTGGGACTCAAACCGTGGTCAACCACATCGGTGTCCAGTGACATAACTATTACGCCATCTGCTGGTCCTCACATAGTTGGCGTAATGGCTATGTCGCTGGACTCCCATGTAGTCGACCACAGTTCAAATCCCGGACCCGGTGTCTTAAACTCACACTGGGCGTGTGTGTGTGTGCGTGCCCAAGATCCCGAGAGGAGAATGGAGGAAAAGGGATTGTGGCGTGGCCACCCCCCCCCGGGGGGGGGGGGGGTGATTTCTCATTCTGTCTCTCCGTCTCTCTCAGTCTTTCTGGCATGTGCACACTCCCTACAGAAAAAAAAAAACTGTAAAAATTAAAAAGAAAAACGGGGTGATAACAAAGTCAGGACCGCCCAGGTACGCAGCCCACGGGAGACAGGTCCAGCTCAATGCCGCCCCTTCCTGACCCCCTTGCTCCTGGACTCCTGGCAGCGTGGACCCCCTTAACCCCTTATCGCCTCGTCTCTGGATGGGAAATAGGTTGGCCCCTTGGGCTGGCATGGGAAGACCTGCAACCCCGTCTCCCTGTCCCCATCTTCCCCCCAATACCTACATGCCTCCTGCCCGGGGCCCCTGACCTGGAAGTGGGTGAGGGTCTGCTCGGAGCCCAGTGCCTGGACTCCACACACTCCGGTCCCCAGGGCCCTTCCGTCTCTGGGTAGGGCCCTTCTGTCTCCTCCCAGGCCCAGGCCCAGCCCTTAGGTGTCAGCAGACTTTATAAGCTGGCGCGCAGGGCTTCGCAGGGAGCTGGCATGCTGGATGACATCGTGGGGCCTCAGCGGGTGGAGCCCTCTGCCTCAGTTTCCCTGGGGAGACATTTCCACACATGTTCCAGGCTAGGACCATTGTCTGGCTGGGGTTGGAGCTGCCACGTGACCCCAGCTCTTCCTCAGCCTGCCAGTCTGCCTCGGGCTCCAGCTCAGTGAGGGCTGCAGGAGACCCATGTGGGCTGGCGTGGGGCATGGGGTAGCCCACTCCACGCTGCAGGGGCGCGGAGCTCGAATTCTGCTGTTACCTTGGGGGCTGGGTCAGGTCCTCCGTCCCGGGTGCAGGTAACAGCTTCTCCAAAGCCCTACTGGCCGGCTGGAAACACCGAATGCTCCTATTTCCCTGTCAGTGGCCAAGCCACGGGCATTGTCCGCCATCTAGTGGTTAAGGAGGGTCGCACCCAGCGCCGGGCAGCCCAGTCACCTAGCAGAAACCAGGTCACCACAGTAGGGGCCCTGGTCAGTGGGAGACACTCCAGGGAAATCAAGGGGGGCTTCATGGAGGAAGCACTACCCAGGTCAAGGGTGGCCCAGCCCAGCAGTGGCGAGGATTGAACCAAGCAGAAGCCGGTAATGTTCTAGGGGTCAAAACCCTGGGTGGGGCAGGGTCCATGCGAGCGATGGGGCAGGCCCGCCAGTCACCTCCCGGCCTCTCCCCGCTACAGGTCCGGACTGGGCGTGCCTAGAGACCGTGAGGCCCTCAGCCCCTTCTCACATCCTCCCTAGAAGCACGGAGCTTTGGAGACATCACGTCACATGGTTTACATATGATTAGCGTGACTTCCATGTGATCACAACATGGCTACATGCTTCCCAGGAATTTCACAAGATCCCCATGCCACTGCCATGTGCTTGCCATGTGATCTGCATCTAACTCTAGCATGGTTCACGCATGATTGCCAGAGGATTCCCCATGAGGGTCACAGGATTGCCACGTTTCCCACCTGATGTGTGACTCTGGCATGAGCCACATGTGAGCGCAATGTGCCCCACACATGATAGTCCCGTGATTCCAGCATGACCGGAACAGGAGTAACACGATTCCCGCATGACTAGCAGGTGATTCTAACATGGTTGACACAATTATCCTTTAAAATCATGGGATCATTGTGCCATCCAGCCATGTGTCTCATGGAAATGTGCATCGTGTGACATTTGAGCACCATGTGACAGCGTTTGACATCTGATGCCATGTGATTGACACATGGACATGCAGTGTCATGTGATATTACAAAGGGCCATGTGAGAGATGTGCATGACACCGTGTGTGCCATGTGACATGTTCATTATTGATGCGTGATTGACATGCTACAGACATGTTTCAAAAGCAACATGATTTGGCATGTGATTGACATGTGCTTGACACATGTGAGAAGCGACAGGTGTATGACAGGCCGTTGAGACATGATCGGCACGTGACAGAGTGATGCGTGACTGACATGTATCACAGAACCAACGTGTGTGACACTGACATGCGACTGACGTGACGAAAGTGGCGTGTGACATGGCTGACACGTGTGATGGATAATGTGGTCCTCTCTGGTGACCTTGCGACCTTATGCAAATTTTCAGAAGGACAAGGTCGGGTCATGCACAAAGCCGGCTCCACAGCCCTCCCGTCCCTCAGACCGAGGACCTGTGCACCCGGTGTGCCCACACTGGCCCCGCCCCACACCCCCGGAGCCACGCCCTCTCCACCTGGCAGGGCACTCGCATTGGCATCTGGGCCCATGGCTCACGTTTTTAGGGCATTTCTTATCGTTCTCTCCATTTTAAAAAAACAGATGAGATGGGGACCAGCAGATGACGTAATGGCTGCATAGCTGGACTCCCACGTCGTCGACCACGGTTCGAGTCCCAGACCCGATGGCTTAAACTCAGGCCGGGCGTGCACGCGTGCACCTGGGGGGGGATTTCTCGCACTCTCTCCGTCTCTCTCTGGCCAGTGCACGTGCCCTATAACTAGAACCTCTCAAAAACATAGATGGGATGGAGGCCTTGTTTTTTTAATTTGCTGGGGCTGTGTGTTCACTGGAGAGAGAGTCATTGAGAAAGCACTGCCCCGCAGGGGTGGTCACTGCAGTCCCTCCTCAGCCTCCCTCCCCTGTCGGGATTCGAGCACGCCCACGCGTACCCAGCATATTTTTCTTTCTTTTTTTTTTAATGATTACTTATTTGAGGGGCCAGCAGATGGCGCAATGGTCCTGTCTCTAGACTCTCACATAGTCAACCATGGTTTGAGCCCTGGACCCAGAGGATAAAACTCACACTGGGTGGTGTGGTGGTTCAGGGCTCTGCACTCCTACACAGCCAACCACGGTTTGAGTCCCAAACCTGATGGCTTGGTGTCTCACTTTCTCTCTCTCTCTCTCAGTCTGTCCTCTGTTCAAATTTAAATAAATGAGTAAATAACGTTAAATAAAATAATTCCTTTTTTAAAATTATTTAATTTTACTTCTTCAGTCATTTATTTTAATTTGGCCAGAGAGAGAGAGAGAAATTGAGAAAGTAAACAGGTCCGGGACTCAAACCATGGTCGCCATGTGGAAATGTCCAGCACCTTAACCACCACGCCACCTGCTGGTCCCCAATAAAATAATTCTTAAAAACAAACAAACAAACAAACAAAACTCACACTGCGTGCGTGTGTGCGCATGCCCAAGATTCCAAGAGGAGACTGGAGGAGAAGGGATTGCAGCGTGGCCATCCCCCAGGGAGTGACTGCTCTCTGTCTCTCTGAAAAATATATAAATGCCTTCCACAGGAGGCCTAGACGCCGCCGCACGCGCCGCCGCCATGTCTCTGGTGACCTCAACGCCAACATGGACGGGCGGCGGAAGACGGCCTTTGCCGTCACCGCCATCAGGGTGTGGGGCGGAGGTCTGCTCGTGCGGGTGGAGGAGAGCAGACACGGACCTCACCAAGAGGGAGGAGAGCTCACGGAGGAGGAGGGGGGACGTGTGGTCACCGTTCCGCAGAATCCCCGCCAGGACGAGACCCCAGACTGGTTCTTGCACAGGTAGGAAGATGTAAAGGACGGAGAACACAGCCAGGTCCTGGTCACGGTCTGGACAGCAAGCTGCCTGGACCTGGAGACGCGGAAGGACATGCGGGCCGGAGAGGGCTGCGCCGCCTCGGGGGCCTTCGGGTCCGAGGCCGGCACACTAGGACACCTGGCCGTTGTGGCCGTACCGTGGGTGTGTC